CATTATTTTTTATGAATTATGTACATAGTTTTTATTTATGTAGTAAACAGCACTGTACTGGTAGCAGAACAAAGATTTTCTATTCATAAACAATAAGTCTTATTTACATTGTATACTGTAAACATTAATTCCATTATTATTACTACTGAATTATTACAGTTGTATGTGACAATAACAAAGCATATTATTTTGTATTTACAATATCTTTTTTTTAATAAAATGTTTACAAAAAAAAAAAAAAATATTAATATCTTAGCAGTAGCGAAAACTAAAATCTTTCCTTCTCGATAATCTTTAATTTATCTAGACGATAATTACAATTGAAACAAGATTAGTCGGTAAAATTTTCAATTTCCCTTCCTAAATTTAAATAAATTAGTTCTTTATACTTTTATTTAGAATGTTACTGTATAACACAGTGTGTGACAAAACAGGTTTTCGGTTGCTTTTTAAGTCCAATTGCTTTGAGCCAACTATGTATACATTACCAACCTATAAAATGCATAAGTACTTAGTTTTTAAATACTTCAGTCGTTATTTTTACCCAAAAGTGGGGCGCTTTGCGACTGTGAAACGTCAATATTTAAGGATTCCTGGTGATGAACAGTAGTGGTTTCTTGTTTTGGCGTGAAACATATGCGATACACATCGTTGAAAGTTGAAGCAAAGTGAACCTCAAGACCATCCGTAATGTATTTAGGTAGATCATTATAATCCTTCTTATTTTCCTCAGGTAAAATTACACAATTTACACCAACTCGTCTTGCCTGAAAAAAAAAAACAAACAAATATACAAGCATGTTTATTTAACATATGAAAATTCTAATTATACTTACAGCAATTATCTTCTCTTTAATACCACCAACAGGAAGAACTCTACCCATCAAGCTAAGCTCTCCAGTCATTGCAACGTTCTGCCTTATCGACTGATTTTTGGCGAGTGAAACAAACGCTATTGCAATAGTGATACCTGCGCTGGGCCCATCCTTTGGAGTAGCGCCTTCAGGTACGTGTAAATGCAGGTGAGAATCATACAGGAAAGTATTGGATGGATCTTCTTGAGTTAAGAAATTTCGCGCAACCGTCATGGCTATGCGTATAGATTCTTTCATCACATCACCTAAATGGCCAGTGACTTCAAAACTGCCTTCTAATTTCTTCGAGCCCACAGGTTTTCTGATTCTCGTCTCGATGAACAAGGTCGAACCTCCCATAGCAGTCCATGCAAGACCCATAACCACTCCAGGAGGAGTAACCTCGTACATCCTATCGTGTGTGAACACAGGTTTGCCTACGAACTCGTGTAAATTGTCCACAGTCACATCAACCTTTTCTGCTTCTTTCTTAACCACTTTAAACGCTACTTTTCGGTGAACTTTCTCTATGTGCTTTTGAAGACTTCTCACTCCTGATTCTCGACAGTAAGACTTGATCAACAAGTGGAGCGCATCATCGTTTATACTAATTTGTTCACCGGTGAGACCAGAATCGTTCATGGCTTGTGGTACCAAGTACTGCTTAGCAATTGCAAGCTTCTCTTCTGCCACATAACCTGACATATCTATCATTTCCATACGATCCCTCAGAGGTTCTGGAATGGTATCGATCACGTTTGCCGTGCAAATGAAGAGAACCTTAGACAAATCAACGGCTACGTCCAAATAATGATCCAAAAAGTTTGCATTTTGTTCTGGATCCAACATTTCCAGAAGAGCGGAAGCTGGATCACCTTGATGACCTCTGATAAAAACAAAATACAATAAAAGTACATTTTTGTAAGAATATTTTTACTAATTAAACCTCTAATAAATTAATTTATCACACTAAGTTATTATTTAGTACATATGAGGTTTGTAATTACATACTTTCCAATCTTATCGACTTCATCAATAAGAATAAGTGGATTTTCAGTTTTGGTTTTTTTTAAACACTGAATAACCTTGCCAGGCATGGCACCCACGTAAGTTCTTCTATGACCTTTAATTTCTGCAACATCTGTCATTCCACCAACGCTAAATCTGAAATACTCTCTGTTAAGTGCACGGGAAATTGATTTCGCTATTGACGTTTTTCCAACACCCGGTGGACCATGGAAGCATAATATTTTTCCTTGCGTTGAACCTTTCAATTGACTGACAGCAATGAATTCTGCATTTTAAAATAATAAAAGATAAATACATGTTACATGGTCAACGAATATATCAACTACGTCTTTGTTAAGCATCTATTTACCCAAGATTCGCTTCTTTATGTCTTCCATTCCGTAATGATCTTTATCCAAAATCTCAATTGCCTGCTGGAGATTTAAATTTTCGGGACTAGTTACACCCCAAGGCATAGCTGTAAGCCAATCTAAGTAATTTCTTGTTACACTGAAAACAAAATTACACTACAAAATTAAAAATTTAATTGAACTATTTAAGTTGGAAGAAACATATCATTTATATTGTATACAACTGCAAATTTTTCAAATAAAAATCATAAAATTAATACATACTTAAATTCACTACTGTGACTTTCTAGGAAATTTAATTTATTCAATTCTTCTTCAAGCACATCCATCACTGTTTTTGGAACTGTCTTTTGTCTTATACGTTCTCTGTACTTTTCTCCTATAGCATCCTTATCATCTTTTTCTAGTCCTAATTCCTTTTTAATAACTTTTAATTGTTCATGAAGAATATACTTTCTATGTTGCTGTTTCACTTTCTCTTCAACTTCTCTGCCAATTTTTTGTTGCAATTTACTTAATTCGTACTCTTTCTTTAAGAGTGCAAGCGATAATCTTAATCTTTTTAAAATCTGTAAATAAAATTATTGTTTTAATTATTCAGAAAGTTAATTTTAGATTTTTTAACAATCACTTACATCCATTTCCTCTAACACCTGTTGCAGCTCTTGTGCATCTGCTCCTGTCAGAGCTGCACCTAAGTCACTCAGGTAAACTGGATTATCTACAACTCTTTGACCTTGATGTAACATTTGTTGCAAAGATTCACGGTATAATGGATTCATACTTATTATATCTCGAATTGTTTTGATTAATTCTTGTGTCAAAGCCTGTGTATAGTAAATTAATGTTTTAATTATCTGAATAAAATTTATTACAGAAAGTTCATGGTTAATATTTCAAAGTTTCGTATATTTACCTTAATTTCTTCAGTTTGCCTAAATTTTTCATGGGTAACATTTACAACTTCTACCATTAACAAAGGTTGAGATGTAGGTTGAGGTGCAGACTCTGTTTGAGTAACTTTTTCTTTTACAGGAGCAACTTTCTCCTGTGCTTCTTCTGCAACTTTACTTTCAGGGGGATTTGTTTCTTCAATTTTTTGTACCTTTTCTGGTTCTGGTACTTTGTTTTCCATTTTCTTACGAATTAGCGACCTACGACTCGGTTTGCCACCAGAAACTGAATCGTCTATAGGGACGCGAATTGTTGTATTTAGTAGAGGAAACGTCAGTTTCATCTCTGCATAGTATAGCATTTATGTATGAATTATGTAAAATTATTTAAAAATAAATTTAAAAACAAAGTTACTAAATCTCATGTAAAACCTGAGACTTACTTTTTGCAATACAAGTAACTAATAAAAAATGAAGTATTTACTAAACAAGAACTACTTTATGCTTTTTGAATAAAATCTTTGTAATGTGAAAAATTAATTTATTGTTTCCTCATGAAAAAAGATATACTTTGTTAGATTACTTGCCATGGGAAGGTTTTGGAAGTTCTTCCAAGATTTGACCAACAATTTTAATTCTTCTATGTGCCATTACAACTAATCTTAACCGATTTCCTAAATCTTGTACTTCATGTATCTGTGCAAATGTTCCAACAGGGTAAATATCATCTAAATTTTCTACAACTTCTGCTTCGTTTCTACCAAAACAATTACATTCAAAAATTAAAATTATACTTATTCACATGTATTGAATTGAAATATAATTAATAATACTTACTCTTCTGCTTTTTTTAAAAAGATTCCAACATAAGGTTGATTTAATTTCACTTTTCTACGAATTAAGTCCATGATGATTGGATTACTAAGTTCTACAAGTTTTATAAATCTTGGAAATACTGGATTTCTATTAATTGCTATAACTGGAACATGAGGCCATACTTCTGGCACAACAACAGTGGCAGGTAATGAAGCTGGATCTCCCAGATCATCTTCATTGTTTCCACTATAAAACAAGGTACAATTTCATTGAAGATTATGTACTTTTTGTTGTTCATGTATAAAGTAACTGCTACATATTGCAACTGTTAAATAAGATTGTCTCATAAATCATAAATATAACAAAAATTGTAAGAAATACTTTAAAAGTGCTACATGTCCACAAATATCAATGTATTTTATCATTTAAATAAATAAAATTGAAGGTAATGAAAAATAATAAATTTTAAATGAATAAAAAGATTTACTTGGATGGTTCTTTATCGTTGGACCGTTTAGTTGCAAATGATCTGATTGAAATAATAGCAGCAGTCTGTCGACGACTGTGGATATTTCTGGCGAACATTCCATGACATTCGTTAAGTTTTATTCTACGGAATTGCGGTCGTACATGCACCGACAACTCTTCGTAATCCAATCGATGATTTCTGCAGAATGATCGAATGTTCGTCATACGATGCCAAAATACTGGCAAAACCTTGAAATTCACCGCTGTCATGAAACGCATCGTTCTTCAAAATTACGGTTCCAATTCACATAAACGTTATTCGCTGGCTTGATCTATTTGAAACTTGCGTGAGGTTATAACCCTACTACGGCACTAGCTGGTCTGATGAAATTCTGCTAACCTAGAAGAAATAATTCGCGTGTCTATCAGCTGTTGTATGCATCACGATGCTATTCTAATTGGTCTAGTCGAGTCGGTGGTTGCTTTCGTTTGTATGAATTCACATTTTACTAAATTTCCATGAGATAGGAAGCACGGTGAAAGAAAACAGTGATATTCGTTTGTCGTTCGGTACGATTAATTATACTTTCGTTTGTGTATTTCAATATTCGTCAATTTATACACAATACATGTATCTCATGAAATTTTTGAAAAAGTGACGCAGGTCAAATGGATCGTAATTACAAAGAAATGATTTTTTTTAGGAATGTTATTTAGTTAAACGAGAGAATATATAAAAGCCTATTTCATTCGTGTATTCATGTGTATATACACATGTATAAAAATAGAAGCACAATTTAATATTATATAATATTATATGTATATATTACTATAATTAGTATTACTGATAATATCTAAAAATACTGTGTAATAATTCTGCTCTTAATATAAGGATTTTGTTTATAATATTATTATCGTTACTAGTACTATATTGTTAATAATTTTATATGTGAAATATAATGTTAAACAGACCAATAATCAATTATGGATAGAAATACAATATTCATGAGCCCAAATAGTTTAAGATCATCTTCTGTGCAAAGGAATGTTACAATACATAATAATACCAATACGATTAATACAGAGAATCGAGTAATGGATTTAAGAAAACTTAGCTCAAGTAATCAAAACTATTGTTCATATTTTTTAAATGTTTGTATTTCATGAAAATAAAATTTTCTTCTAATACTTGATTATATAGGAATAATATGTTCTGATAATATTACCAGACAGAACTTAAATAAAAGAGCAAGTATAACTGCATCTCTACCTACAGAGGATGATGAACAGTTCTTTAAAAATCTGGTGTCGTAAGAGAATTTTTAATGCATCATGTTCTTCCTGTTTTGACGAATACTTTTAATTGTATTTGTAAATTTAGGAATTTTAAGGAAAATTATAAACCAAGTATAAATGATAAAAGTTCTAATTTAACAAGAAAGAGGAAACCTATAATTGATAAAGAAACTCAGAATGTGATTAAAAGATTTAAAAAGGATACAAATAATATAAATTCTACACAATCTTTGAATAATACAAATATTATACAAGCTAATCCTATCAATGTTTTAAAAAAAACATGGTTGCATGAAAATATTATGCAACATGAAAACATAGTACCCTCTAGTACATTGAATACAAATTTCAGGTATATCTTAATAAAATAGACTACATATTATTTATTTTCTTAAATCTTTGTTGACATTTTATATAATATTATTAGCAAATTTTACAATAGCTTACATTTTATTACAATGATATTAACTTTTTTATTAATCACTACTATTAAGTTATTCAATTGTATATTTTGCACTAATATAGTATAAGGTACTTGTACAATTTCAGAATTCCTCCTAGTAAATTTATATTTCAAGTAACTTCAAAGTTGCAAAATAATATTTTACCTTTTCCTACAAAGGAAACACCCATTCTTCAGGAAGAGTGTAAAGAAGCTTTATTTTATGGAATGCTGTTTCTCACTCCTCCAGACAGTAATTCAATAGAGGATAATACAAATTTATAAATTTAAAATAGAATATGAAATATTAAAGAACAATGACTATTTAAAAAAAAAAATAGTTATTTTAATTTCAAACATGAGATTTACATAAAGTAAACAATGTCAAGTTAAATATTTGATTAATTATTGTAATTTATGATTTATGTACTACAATTATGTATAGTTACGTTTAAATATATTACGTTACGTTTAAGTAACGTGAAAATAATTATATTGTTATTATATATATTATATAATATAATCATATTGTAATACAGTTATATATTTATTTCGCATATATGTTAATTAAGTAAAATTAATAGTGATAAAATTTAAGAATTTTCATTGTAAACTGCAGATGATGATTATCAATAAAGAATTTTAAATACACGTATGTCATTGGTCATTCGACAGAAATTGATGTCAACGTATTCAAATACAATCCAAATAATTTGAAATTAATAATCGACATTTGTAATTAATCGTATTAATAATTAGATTAATATTTGCATACAATAATATTCCAAAAGTATTCCTTTTTGCTAGAAGTGAATTATCGAATAACATTTTGTGTTAATTTATATTCTTTTATATCCAACCTAACCTAAAACACTTTACCTAATCAATTACAATAATACAGAAAGTAAACAAATGTTTCAAATTATTATTGAAATACCTTTTCATTAAACATATTTGAACATGCTAGTAATTCTAACAGATGTGATTACAATCATAATGGTGCAGAAGAAATAAGTATTTCTTCAAAGAATGTAATGTGTCCATTAGTTTGAAACAATGAGTGAATTTAAATTACATCATTTAGTGGTTGAATTAATTGGACTACTAGGGTGAGTAAAAGTTAAATATTATACAGTTTCCTAAATAATAAATGTATAAATGTAATTTTTTATAGAATATACAAATGCATATTTTGAACTTGGTAATGTTGTTAATAATGTTGAAACAGTTTATTTATAATGAAAAATTTATGGAATAATTACTTTTTATTATTAGGTCATCTTCTGCACCAGAAAAACATGTAGAGAAATTACAAAAAGAAGGTGTACCAACAAGTACAAGTGCTTTAACTATTGTTGCTTCCCAAAGTTCTATTCGTAATTTAGCTAAAAATTCTCCAGTTCCTGAGTTATTTCTTCAAAAGTATGAAGAATTGAAAGCAAAAAAGTTAGTACTGTTAGAAACATATACATAAGTTTATAAGATACTAAAAAATAATATTGTTCATTTTATAGGGTAGATTTATTAGGTTTATTTATCCAGGTACTGGAATTGATATCTGATGATAAAGAATTAAAGAGTTATTTGGCTAAACAAACATCAACTTTAACATCAAGTTCTACAAAGAATGCTGCCATTACTACAGAAGACTTACCACAGGTTCTTTTCATCTTTCAAATACTAATTTACTAACTATTTAAACATATAAGCATTATGTTTTATTTACAATTTGAATTATTTTGTGTACAATATAGATTTGTAAGAATGTGATTAAAGCTGCTGTGGAAGGAGAGAAAAAGTTAAATAAACAAGTATGTGCAATTACAAAGAAAACAGAACCATCTGTAATAAAACACAATTGGGTTCGTGAAAGGCCTCGAATAACTTGGGACTTCTATAATGAATCAAATGTTACACCATGCCAGAGTAAATATTATTTTTTCTTATATGAGAATTTAATGTAATTAATTTATTAAAATAAAAAATATTTGCAGAAGTTGTACCAATAATCTCTCAAGAATCAACATTACTTTGGGATATTTTATATTGCTTAAAAGGTATAGATGGAACTTACATTGTTTCTGAGCCATTAACAGGTCCATATGCAGTGAAAACATTTAGCATATCTCCAGATGTTGGTAAGAATAAATAAAAATGATTTTTATAATTATTAAGTGTATGATATATTAAAGTTTGTATTATCTTAATTTGTAGGTATTTCATATAAGCAAATGACACAACAGATATTACCACTTGCTTCTCATTATTCCATGACAACTAGATTCGTTGAAGAAAAAGTTTTACCAGAAGATGGTCAAGTGAATCATGCTTTAAGAGGAGCTATAAAAAGTTTATTAAAAGATTATTTAGTATGTATAAAATATGCTTTTCAATTTAAAGCTTCTATTTCGAAAAGACCATAATTAATTTACTTACAAGATATAGGATCATTTAGTATTTCAAATTTTTTAGTTATTCGTTGTACAATTGGAAATGGAACATGTACGCGGCAAATTAAATTTGCAAAAGTTGTGGTTTTATATTCAACCTACAATGATCGCAATGTCCATTCTTTTTCAAATTACATCCACTATATGCAAGGTTAGCTGTGATTTTCATTTTTTAGCACTGTTAATTATATTTGTAAAAGAATATTTTATTTTAGGCAAATGCAAAAGGTGGAAAAGTTCTTAGTCTTCTGCATGAGCAAGCGAATAATATCAGTGGTGAAGCAAAATTTAAAGAATTATGTTTGTTTCTTATACAAACAGCAAGTGTTCCATATATGCAGATATTAGAGAAATGGGTATACAAAGGAGTAATATGTGACCCATATGAAGAGGTAATAATAAAATGGTGATACTTAAATTACTATAATATTTATTTATTTTTTTGTATTTTTCAGTTTTTCGTAGAAGATAATGAATTAATTCAAAGAGAGGAATTGCCTATAGATTATTCTGCAGATTATTGGGAAAAGAGGTATACTATGAGACCAGAGAGAATACCTACTTTTCTTAATGAACATGCACAAACAATTTTAAGAACTGGAAAGTATTTTAATGTAATAAGGCAATGTGGTATGTAATATTTTATAGATTTATATGTAACTATTCCTTATAGTTTAATAATTTTATGTAATTAAATTATTAAATAATTGTAATTATTTGTAGGTAAAACAGTTCAATGGGGAAAGCAGGAACCTTTAATATATCAACATCAAGGGCAGAGATATATAGCTGTTATTGATAGAGCATATTCTGAAGCTGCAAAGACTTTATTAGAAGTCCTTATTCAGGAAAATGACTTAATGGGGCGTCTTCGTAGTGTAAAGAGTTATTTTCTTCTTGCACAAGGAGATTTTATGGTAAGTTCATACATCATGAAAGATTTTATTGATAATGTATATAATGCTACTATAAAGTGATATGGTATAATTCAACTGTAGGTTCAATTTATGAATCTTTGTGAAACTGAGTTAAATAAAAATATGTACGATATCGTCATTCATCGAATAGCATCTCTTCTCGAAGTTGCATTGCGTATGTCCACTGCAGACTCAGATCCATACAAGGATGATCTGAAACCAGAACTTTTACCATATGATCTTCAATTCCAAATGTTTAGAATACTTTCTATTCAAACTAGAGAAGAGAAAGGTATATACTTTATTAATATGTGTATATTAACGTTAGAAATTTTTAATATTATACATAATGAAATTTTCTGTTGCAGAATATTGTTTTCAGACTGATAAAACTTTAACTGGTTTGGAAGCATTTGTATTCAATTATGATGTTAAGTGGCCTGTGTCTTTGATACTTAACAGAAAAGCAATAGCTTGCTATCAAATGTTATTTAGACACTTGTTTTATTGCAAATATATTGAAAGACGTTTATGCAGGTTGTTATTTAATCTAATATTTTTAAAAACCAAAGGTATCTTAAGTAGTGGTAAAAAATCACACGTTGCTCTCTTGTATTTTAGAGTATGGGTCAGCAATAAAATTGCAAAAACTTTTACTCACAATGTAGCAATGTCATATAGACAAGCATTTTCATTGAGACAACGAATGCTCGATTGCGTTCAACATTTGGCATATTACATGATGGTCGAGGTTATAGAACCGAATTGGCTTACATTTATAAGTAAAATGAATAAGGTATGATTTTTAAAATTATGCATCTAAATTATTAATTATAATTGAATTGGTTCCGTTAAATTAATTCTGTATAATTTTTAAATTATATACTTAGGTCAGTAATGTGGATGATGTTTTAAG